GCAAGAAGCCTTATTCATGTTGCCCCTGAAAAACCGAGGGCTAAAATAAAACTGTTAAGGACGACCTTTTTACGAAGTAATTTTTGGATTTAATTCCATTGGCTTTGGTGAACAGAGCTTTTATAGGAGAGTATAGTTAATTTTGACAAAATGAGGTGCATCAGGAAAGGAATGTCGACGAGCTGTTTGGAGAACATGTAGAGATGACTGAAAAGCACACTAAATTCAAGTTATCACCGTTACTCCTTGTTTAGTGATTTTACGCTCTTAAGTGAAGGCACACTCTCAAGATTTTTTTTAACAAAATTGGCTTTCATTCAGTTTTTAATTAGGCAGCGTGTGAGTCGTACATCCACATGTGCTGCGAGACGTTTGGTATGCCGATCATTATTCTGCGCATTAACAACATCTATGGGCCTAATCAGTGGGATGTCAAGGTGACAAACATTGTATTTTTGCATTGCTCAAATTTACCGATTTACTTAAAGTGGAAGACGAGTTGCTTAATTTGTTCCACGTTTCTGCGTAAAAGAAAAAAGTCTATGGCGGATTTATGTCTTTTTGAAAATGTGCATATACATATGTTATTTTTTTATATCCTCAAACGTTGAATTACTTTATCTCCTAAGCTACAATCAAACAGATATGATATAGTTTCAAGAATGATTTGCTTCTTAAGCCTTGCCTCTTTCTGGCTCGAATTCAGATTGATGCTTTAATCTAAACGGGAAAAAGTCTAAAATGTCAAATTCTTAATGCACATTTGGCTAAGCAGAACATTTGAGATCAAATTTCATATTCACTATACTTTCACTTATGATCCTTACCCTAGTCTTCGGGCCGGTTTCATAAATCCAGAACATGGAGGTTCATAAAATTGCCATTTCAGCAGTTTAATTTGCAGAAATGAAGGTGAAGTACCTGAACAGAATGAAATTTTCCTTGAATTTCATTGTGTGGATTTGAAGTCTCGGATTCAAATTCATAGTAACATTATAAATCCGCAACACGGTAAGATACGGCAGTGAAAACTGGTTAATAACTCCCGGTAGATCCATGCACAATCACGGTTACAAATTGCCCCATTCATCCGTTTTGTATTTAACAGCTAATCGCAAAAACGCATGGTTGCAGCAGTTCCTCTGCTGTACTTTAGTAGATGTTGAAGGAGATAACTGTTCCGTTTCTTTTTTTTTTTGAATGTCAAGCATTTCAGGTGGTACCATGCTTTATTGAAGTAGCTAAAAATAAGAAGAAGTTCACGGTTCAAGGAACTGGGAAACAACTGAGATCATGGCTGTACGTGGATGATGCGTCCGAAGCCATCAGACAAGTTATTGAGCATGGAAAGCTACACGAAATTTATAACGTTGGAACATATTTTGAAATGAATGGTAATCATTATATAATTATAAGTGTGCTTTACTACACATACACAGTCATACAAGCAGAGTGTGACAAAGTTAAACACATGCATATATAAATACACACATACATACATACGTACACACACACATAAATATATATATGTATATCATACACACATACATACATACGTACATACATACATACATGCATACATGCATGCATACATACATACATACATACATACATACATACATACATACGTACATACATACATACAT